AATGATGATAGTGCATACTTAGAGAACTGTACAATAAAAATCAGTTTTGTAACTCATGTCTTGATTTGCAGTGTTGCACAAAGTAAAAAAGGTGGAATTAGAAAGAACCATACTCCTAAGACACTAAAGCCTATATGTTACTTCATACAATGTTGCCTAACCTATGTGTGTGTAGGAGAATATAAGAGCTTCAGAAAATATAAAAAGCATCCGACATTTAACATCTGGCAACTCTCTCTATATTGCTTCCAGGAATTATAAACCTGATTAGGGTGAATATAGCACTAGTAACTTCAGTACATTGATCCAGATGTATAGGATATGTCACCAGTTAAGCAACCACTATAGGTTCCTGGAAAACTAATTAGGACACCAACAAATATATGTCATAATAATATTTATAATACAGGGAGTCGTGTAAAAAAAACTGACGTAATGCTTGAGTACATATGTGCATTGGGCAAAACCAGTTAAGTGAAACACCTAAAGCACAAGCACTAGCAGGTAGCAGCCATCACAGGTACCTGCAGCCCTGCACACATCAACCAAGAGGTTATGAACTGCTAGGAAAGGTGGCAGCAGTAAGTGTAAAATCGTAAGAAAACTTGCTTATATGGTCCAATAAATTAATACAAACCTACTTGTAAAATTCAGAAGCAGGATGCACACTGCCGAAAGTGTCAAGATCATCTAGAAGCTTATATGGATAAATAAATGAAACTATTGTTTATGTTAACTCTGAACTTTATGTTTGAATAGGAACATGTATCCTCACCGTGCAAAAAGAAGTGTAAAATTGGAGCTAGTCCGTAAGCTTGCAAAAGTCAGAAACCATTAGCATCGGCCTCCACTAACTTTTGGATGAAAGATTCTGTCTTAAGCCAATGCTAAATTGCTAGCTACATATACTTAAAGTTAAAGAAGGTGCAATGAATTTATGGGCCTGAACTGGCATTTCATCAAACATCTAGAGTTCGTGCACTGGAAGGACAGAGAAGCAAGCACAGGAAAATAACCTTGTGCGTCGCATGGTCCGCGACACGACGACGGCGACAAGAACGCGGTAGTGGACGGTGAAGGTGTCCACAACCGTCTCGGCCTCATCTTCCTGCGCCGCTGCCTCCCTGGTCCGAATACAAAGTTAGTAGGCATAATACATGTACACACTTGTGATTACATCGGATCCGAATACAAATAGCTAAATAGATCAAGTTAGGGTTCCGGAGCTCAATTTGGCACAGCAGGAAGGGAAGAGAAGGAGCGGGCATACCTGGTGTGGTGGGTTCCCGTCACCGGCAACGGGCCTGAAGAAGACATGGGAAGCTCGCGTAGGGCGGCGGCGGTACCTGACGGATGGGCACCGCGTCCTGCCTCTCCTCGTCCTCTAGCGGCAACCATGCCGAGTCCAACATGGTGCCCTTCTGTGTGGAGGAGGGAGGCGCCGACGGCTGGATCTGGAGGAGGGAGGCGGATCGGTGGAAGGGAAACGAGCCCTAACCTCGAAGAGCCGGTTGAGATCAGACGGATCGGCCTTCTCCGCTTGCTGCGACGCTGCTGGAGAGGAGGGGGCGGACGCATCTCTGACGCCGACGAGGGGGTCGTCACTGCCTTCGACGGCGAGGTCGCTGAGGAGATCCCCGATGGTGAGCTGTGGACCTCCGACTCCTCGCATCTATTTTTTCCTTCCGTACAGGAGACGAGAGGGACGCGGGCCTGGGGGCCGGCGGGGCCGGGCGCCGGCGGTGGCGGCAGGGGGCAGGGGGCGCCGGGGACGGGTGTGCCTGTGTGCGTGTGTGGCACGGGTGGCTGTGTGCGTGTGTGGCTGTGTGTGGACGGATGCGGGGTATATGAGTGGGGGTTTGCCGAGTGTCCCAGATCTGACACTCGGTAAAACCATTCTTTGCCGAGTGCCAGACCAGGGGCACTCGGCAAATCCAATTTTTTTTATTTTCTTTCTTTTCCTTCTTTTCTATAACGTATTTTTCTAAATTTGTTCTCATGTACTTTGAAAATACCTTGTCAAATTCACTCAACAATATATATTTGATTTTTGTACGAATATTATTCCATTATTTTATACCGTTATAGCTCAAATTCAATTTATATCAATTAAAATTCTATAATTGCACTTAATAAATTAAAATTATCAAACGGATAAAAAAAATTACCAAAATTTCACATGAAACAATCTATATTCTCTATTGTCTATACAAAAAGTTTTGAAGTCAAACCCCAATTCGACAGTCACTTTGACTCCAAATCTTACTGAATCCTTCTCAACGCTACTATTCTTCTTCTAAGATGCTTTGATTTGTAAACATCGTACGTGACAAAACGTGCAAAACCTTATCAATTTTTTACCACAGCCTCCACGTATGGTATCATCACATCATGACAAATCTCATGATTTTTAAACTTCATTTGTTTTTTTAGAATTTAAAAATCATTCGGCCACATGTTCGTGGTCGTGTTTCCTGAACAAGATGTTCGAAATTTCTTTTCATTTCCAAGGTCTCACACTGAACTCAATGACATGACTATCATTTTTCTACTCATTTTATTCTATTATTTGAATCACTTGCGGTTCAAATTTGACTTAAACAAAAAAATTCTTGAAATGCAATAAATTAATTAAATATAGCCAACAGATACAGAAATATACTAAATTTTAACATGGAGTACCACATGTTGTATGCGCAGAGTAGAAAAAGTTTGAAGGTCAGAAGAGAAAAAAAAACTTATTTCATTGCCGAGGCAAAAAAAAAACACTCAACAAAGATCTTGTTTGCCGAGTGCCAAAAAAACACTCGGCAAACCCTATTCTTTGCCGAGTGTTTTTTTTGGCACTCTTGGCAAACCCCTTCTTTGCTGAGTGTTTTTTTTACACTCGACAAATCTGGTTTTTTGCCGAGTGTAATTATTTTGCCAAGTGATTTTCGCACAGCACTCGGCAAAGAGCTTGTTTGCTGAGTGCCCCGAAGGATTGCACTCGGCAAATCCCCTTGCACTCAGTAAATTTTCCAGTAGTGAATCTACCATCATGAATATACCCCTCAGCAAACTATCGACGATATTCCGTCGACAATGTACCAAGACGCGCTGGCCTGGGGGTGTTCATCCTCAACAACCAATCAAGCACGACGTCGGCCATCTATATTAAAGTCATACCCAGGGACTCAGCCTCTGATAATGGCGGAAGCTGCGGCTCTGGCACTTGCTGCTCAGATTGTCTCAGCAATTGGAATCCAGTGCCCGATATTCCTATCGGACAACCAACAGTATCGGACAACCAACAGCTTGTGACCTTCCTCAATGGAAGTCTTCACACCAATCCACCACAACGGGAAATCAAGCGTTTCACACAGAGTTTCATCAATCTTTCGTCACGTAGCAATGCTAAGATTTTCAAGGTCCAAAGATCGCAGAACACTACGGCAGATGTCCTAGCTACTCAGGCTTTCAACTCTTCGTATAGGACTTCATTTGAAATGCAGTTTTCCTGTACCAATGCAGCTCATGTAATCAGCTGTCCCCTCTGTGATGGCTTTAACCTCTGTAAATGGTGATATCTTCACCATCATCGCAGCATCTTGCTGCTAATAAAATTGCTGTTTATAAAAAAAAAATCAGATGCCGATAAAGGCGATAGATAAATGTAGTAATAAATTAAATAGGGAGCGGCTACACACGGCTATACTTAAGGTACTGATGAATTATCATGCAATTGCAGATGAATCTTTATACAGTCAACTAGTATAATTAAAAGATAACTCACAAGAAATAATTTACAATTTTTTCTATAGTTGAACAATAACAAATTACGTATTACCTGAAGAGCAACAAAAAAAAGAGACGCCTATAACATATAGAAGTGTAATAAATAATAACCCTAGCATAGGAGACGAATGAGGAGAAGTAATACTATGGGTCTGTTTGGTAGTACCGCTCCCACAACAGCCTCTGGAGCGGCTTCACCCAGCCGCCAACCAAACGGCAAACAAAACAACAACTTCGTCCTGCTCCGCTCGGAAATTGTTCAGAGAGAGAGCCGAAGCGGGAGGTGGAGCTGGAAAAAAGTAGCTTTACCCGGCTCCGACGTCCGTTCTTGAAGGGCCGTCCCAAACTATCCTTCTCTATCCTCCTCGACGACGGCCGACGATGGTCGAGGCAGAGTGGGCCTCCTCCGTCGCACGCTCGGGGCGGCGCCGCGGTAAGATGCTGGCGGACGGCGGCGGAGGCGCGGTGTGGGAGGATGAAGCTGGAGCGGGTGAGGCGCGGATTTGGAAGATGGAGGCAGCTGATGCGGCGATAGGAGGCGGAGGCGCAGGGCTGACTGCTGAGCGAGGCGGAGCTGAGCGACGAGGCCGAGATTGGGAAAATTTGCGGTGATAGTTTTTTTGCGAGAGGAGATTGGGAAAGGAGACGTGCGGTGGAGATAAGGGGAGGGGAAAAATTAGAGAAAAAGGAGAAAATAAAAAGAAGAAAAAATACAAGGATATTTACGAAACTCTTTTTCTAACTAGAAAAAGCAGAGCTGCTTCACCGTAGAAGTCATGGCTAAAGTTGTTTTAGTTAAAGTTAGAACTATATCAAACATCCCTACTACTACCGTACTCCCGCTTGCTGGTGAATGCATGGTGATCGTCTTGGTCTGGCTGTGGCGGTTCCAGCAGCCAAAGTCCAGCCCAATCGTAGATGGAGCGCAGGTGGGACACTGTGACCAACATCATCGTGATCCAGCGAGTCCGACATGCTTCTTCTTCCAAGGTCGTCGTCGTCGTTGCTGTAGATGGTCTGCCCGCGCATCCCGTCGAAGACCGCGCGAGATGGTGGCGCACATGTGCCGAACATCTCCAGCATGCATTGGCCTTGTAGCCCGAGGACGTGTGCGATGGTGGAATCGTCGTTCCAGTGCCTCAAGATGTCGCTGTTGTCGGCGCCGCTGTCACCGTCTGCCGCGTCCGCCGTGTCCTGAGGTGGTGGTGGCGGCTGCGACGACGCTAGTGCCCTCGACCCGGCCAGTTAAGCAGCAGCTGCACTATATGGAGTGCCTGTCCCACGTTCCTGACATCGACTTGCGGAGCTAGCAGCTCCTGGGGCCATGGCGGATCCAGTTCCCGTACATGTTCCACCGGTCCCAATCCCAACGCACGCAGCACGGCGTGCGACATGTGCTTCCAGTTCCACAGCAAGTGCACATGCCGCTCGGCGATGGCACCCGTGCGGTCCCAGCCATCGAGCACCGTCTCGCAGTGCGGGATCATCCTGGCAGCCTCGCAGACCATGACGATGAGGCGCGCCAGGTGCCGCCTGGTCCTTTCATCAACTCCGCCGCCCGGAGCCTGCTCGTAGGCCGAGAGCCGGCGCACCGCGTCCCTGGCGAACCACCTGCCGAGCCCCAGCCCTACCAGGTTCATGGCGCCTCCGACGATGCCGCCGTAGCCGACGTCGCACTCCAGGAAGGTGGAGCTCCACTCCGCCGGGAGCACCCGCGCGCTCCTACCGCCGCTGAAGCCGAACTCGTACCACTGCCCCCGCCGGTTCCGGAAGCCGATGAGGTACACGTTGTCGTCGCGGACCGCCAGAGTCGTCACGTGGCCCTCGTCCCGGACTAGCAGGGTGATGTGGATCCACCGCGCCGGCCGGTGAGGGCTGCGTTGCCGTGGCAGCACCGGGTGGGGCGCGTGGTGATAGTCCACCACGCTCCGGCGGTCGCCGGCGGGTTCGTACTCGGCGAGCACCGTGCGGAGGACCTCGATGAATTCACCGTAGTTTCCTGCTACTAGGTCGTACACGATTTCGATTGTTTCAATGCCAGCTTCCATGTACTAGCTGGCCAGTCCTATGTACAAAAATGATGCGTCGAAGAGCCCAACCAAATACTACCGTGTCCGTGTGTACACTCAGACTAGCTCCGATCCCCCGAGAGGCAAAGCACGGCACTAGACACTAGTGGAGGTGGAGTGGTTAGCTAGCTGCAAAGAACGAAACGCGCTTAAGACACGAGGAGAGCAAACATAACGCGCTTGAGACACGGGAGCAAGTTTTGTTATATAAAAGGGATCCCTATATAAAATTACGAAAGCGTGCATCTCGGAATGCATATTACTATTACTTACTACAACGCGTACGGACCGGCCGGCCTTCGGCTGTAATTTATTGGTGAATGAACTACTACAATTGGTTGTGTTGTCTATATCATTGAATTCGGCATTTGTCCTGGCACAATTGGAAACTGTATTTTTTTTTTCTGTGTGCCACTTATTTTTTCTGACAGGTCTCAAAGTCTCGTAGAGAAAATAAATTTAATCTGTCGGTTCGCGCACCACATAGAAAAAAAATCCTATTACCATGTCGATATACCGTACTGTCAGGGTAATCCCATGGTTAGCTGTCCTAACAAGTGTCTTGTCTCTTTGTGTCTAACCAAGTACTACTTACTCGTACACCTGTCTAGTTGTGCATGATTATTAGGTCTCTTATACTATCTATCATTCATGATTTAGTTTAGACATTTGTATGTCCATCTATGGTTTAGTGTGAGAGCATACATGAAGAAGACAATTGATGTGTAGGAATTCTAAGAACCAATTGATATTTACATGTACTGTCATTTTCCAGCTTGTAAGGAAAATGTCAACTTGCAAGGGTCATTATATGATTTTGGTGTTCGATGAACAACATGACCATTTGAATTAATGTCGTTAACTATTATACAAGATTTAGTTCAAATGGATGCATAGATGGACTTGGACAAGGCAATATGTAGATCAAGTAATCAACACCTAAAGGAAGGACATGGACAACGTTGAAGACCCTAGAAGACTTGCATGAAGTCCAAGGCATCAAAGAGACGCAGCGCGGACGAGAAGACGCAAAGAACAGAGCTCACTGGCGGATGTTTGTAGGCACCGGATTTCTCTAGTGTGACTGCAGGAAGGAGCACTAGAAGATAGCGTGGCAGGGAGGTAGCTGCAATAGTATCACCGGAATTATCCGGTGCAAGGTACTAAAAGTGCACCGGATATTAAGGTGGTGTCCAAAGAATAGAAACATCCTGGGGACACGGACCACATCTCTCTGGTGATGGGAAACAGAGTGCTCACCGGAGCATTCTCTACCGGAGAGGATTGTAGCGAGGTTGGAGGGAGTTACAATGCACCGGATATCTCCGGTGAACCACGGGATGAAGCATCCGAGCTTCCAGCCTCCAACGGCTAGTCGACGTTGATGGAACCGTGACGTACAAGAGGGGTGGATTAGACAACTTAAAAACTATTTCTAACTATGGCCTCTAATTTCAACCTAAGCAAAATTTATGCAAAGATAAACTATTTAAATGTGTAACTACGGTTTTGCTAGGTGTATTGCTATCTCTACAACAAAAGAGTTATGCAACCTAGGTTCTAATCCTATCAACTAGCCTATCACCCACGCTAGAAAGGTAAAGCACACAACCAAGGTACACAATGTAAATATGGAAGGTAAAGGGCAATAGAGATGCAAACTTTTTTTCGAGAAGCGCACAAGCTTCCTCCTAGTTCTCGTTGTAGCCTCTCGCAAGGGCCAAGCTCTCGATCGGGTAACTCCGTGGATAGCACCGGGTCTTTCCCACGTGCATGTGGGTCTCCGGATCGGAATGCCTCTCCCGAACCGCTCTCTGCCACCTTCACTATCGAGCTTCAGGCCAAACCGCCTCGAGCCTTGTTCCCTCCGTTAGATGGTGGCGGCCACACCACAAAGACGGTTGGTGTGGTCTTGCAAGACTACAAGCCTCTCTGGTGTACAACAATGGTACGCGCAAGCACCGAGCTTTCCGTGGTATGAAAACCTCACTAAACACTAGGCCTAACATAGAGCAAGAGCGATTAAGCATGTCTAACTAGCCTAAGCACTTCGCAAAGTACGTACACTAATCACCTAATCTTCTCTTAAGCACTTGTGGTGGTTAGAGCACTTGATGGGGTGTCTCAACACTCCTATATCCTCAGCACACTCCAACAACCACCAAATGGTCGGCCATGGGGGTATAAATAGCTCCCCAAAGAAACTAACCGTTGGAACCTTGCACAGGCTTTCTGCGCAGTCGTCGGACCGACCGACGAAGGGTCGTCAGACCATCCAACGCCCCGTCCCGCAGCTAGCCGTTAACTAGCCGTTGCCGACCATTGCCATCGTTCACTTCATTGATAGCTGGGCTTCGTCGAGTGTATAGTCCGACGCCTTGCCTCGGACCTGTCCGACGACCCCGAAACCCTCTCTGGAACCTTACTGGAACCCATCGGACTCTACCTGAATTGGTCCGATGCTTTCACTGTTGCCTCGGTCCGACGCCTGTGTGTCTTCTCTGTCTCTATGAACAGTAACGACGTTTGGTCCGACGCCCTGCATCAACGCTGCTGCTGCTAGGGTTTGCTTCCCATATTGATCCGATGCCCCCTCAGGGTCTGACGCCCCCGCAGTGTCCGACGATCTGCAACTCCTTCTCTCAACTTGTTTCTTTGCGATCTTTGCGTCCTGCTTGGTTCCATCTGTCTTTTGGACTTTTGCATGTCTTGTAGGTCTTCAACATTGCTTCTAATGTCTTGCTTGAGGAGTTGATCATCCGGATCACACTGTTGCCTAAGTCCAAGTCCACTTTTGCACCCTTTGAATTATATTAAAAAACACTAGCAACTAAAGTTAGTCCAAATGAACATGTTGATCATCAAACAACAAAATCCAAACTAAATGGGCCAAGGGTCAATTTTCCTTACAATCTCTCCCTCTTTGGTGCTTGATGACAACATGACCAAAGCAAGCAAATAATAGATACAAAAATTAAAATGCAATTTACTTGCTAGGATCCAATGCAAAGGCAAGATCATATGATGCTAAAAGATACTACTTGTACCAATATTTGAAAACTTATCTTGCCCTTGCCATTTGTCCCCTAGTGTGGTATTATGGACTTAAGCCCTCCCCCTAACTCCATAATCCACTTTCCTCCCTTTCTTGGACCTCCCCCATTTTTCTTTTACAACTCCCCATAACCAAAATCACTTTTATCAACCAATACCACTTGAATACTTGATGCCAATTGAGAGCTTTAAAAATTTTGAATTTGTGGATTTTGGTATTTATTATGGTTCGGACTTGCTTTTGGTCCTATAAATTCTTCTCATTTGGAATTAAATACCAAAAAGGAAGACATTAGTAGCACAAGGGAGGGTCAAATTTTGTGATCCTTTATATGTGGAATGGAATTGATCACAAAACTTGACTCTGACATTACATAGACTAAGCTCCCCCTAAGTGTATGCATACATATGGTGGATGGCAAAGCATATGCATAATCGGCAATTTAATGCACAAGGAAGTTTAATCTATATAATGCATGGAGAAAGCATTAAAATATACCAAATTGAATAACAACATAATGACATCGGTATAGAGATACCACATGTAGAAATCCAATTAGTATAGACCACTTGTAATAAATGGTATGCTTTTGAAGGAAAAATGCTTATCTTTGGGGACTCCATTTTCCTTGCAATGAGACTACTACACACATGATAAACTTGAAGCAAATGTTAGTCTCAAAGCTTCCAACTTGTAGAGTAACCTCCCCCCTAAAAGTGTGCATACAAGCATGGAATACATGTAGGAGACATGCAAATTGACTTTTAAGGTCAAATATCACTTGAAAGATGACACCACTTGAAGGTGGGAATCATTTTTATGGGTGATATTAGGGAAAGTTGTCTACAATTTGGACTTTGTCACATATAAGATACTCACTTGAAAAATAGAGCTATGTGCCGTGCTCCTAAGCAATTCTAAACTATGTAAGTTTGCTCTAAGGGTAAGAGTGATACTGAGCAACCCTACCATGTGATTTACCTAGTATATGCATGACAAGAAATTAAACGTGCAAATGCAAACCTAGGCATGAAAGGAACTAGATGCTAAATGAAATTGCAAGAATTTAAATTTAGTTACCTAACATAGGAAGGGGAATTTGGGTCTATAATTTTCACTAACCCACTTGGCAATGACATGATCCAATGTGATGCACCCCATAAAATGCACCTAAACTTTGCCAAGTCTCCAAATTCCCCGATGTCCATTGGACTTCTCACTTCCCCTTCAGGATCCAAACCTTCTTGGTTCTCTTCATGGTTGAAATAATTTCCTATGGCACCCAAATACGTTTGGCCCCACTTGTGTTGGATTGCTTGTTCATCTTGATGGCCACCACCTTGTCATTTTTCTTATTCTTCAACAAGTATGATGTAGCAGCCTTCTTGTTCACCTTGTTGGTGTAGGTTTTGGAGAGCTCACTTGTTTGCTTTTTTGTTTTCTCTTTCTTCTTTTCTCCCCCATTCTCCACCTTGCACTCATAGGACTTGTGGCCTTCCTTGTGGCACACGTAACAAACCACGGTTGCTCCCTCATCAAGCTCCTTCACTCTCTTGATGGTGTTATCTTGATGAGGTTGGGCTTGCTCCGTCTTGCCTTTCACTTGAACCAATTCCTTGGTGAGACGAGCCACTTCTAGCTTAAGTTGCTCATTATACATTGCAACTTCTTGTGTACATGTTTCTACAAAGACATTCTTAAAACAAACTTGGTCACAAAGAGGTGAGTCCAATTTAAATAAATCATCGCAAGAAGTTGAGGCATCCTTTTTAGTTATATCAATTAATTCTTCAATTTTAGGTGCCTCAGGGTACTACCAATAGCTTCAAGTTTGCTAGCTAGCTAATTATTTTGTTCCTCAAGAAGTTTCATTTTAATGAGCAAATTTTCATGCCCTTCTTATGAGCTAGCTAACTTCTCTTTT